TTATGTTTAATAAAACTCTTTGTTCTTTCATTAATGAGATTCAATTCTCATTGATATTTTTGTGGTTTGTGGTCCCTTAAAAAAATTTTAAAAAAAATTGTGATTGAATTGGTTTGACCCACCAGTTCACTAATCGAACCGGAAAATTGACTGATTCACTCTAGTTTGAAACGGGTCAAGTGCATAACCGATCCAACTCAAGGTTCGAACCGACTAGACCACCGGTTCCCGGTTCAACCAGTTCGACCTACCAGTCCAATCCGATTTTTAAAACACTATTTGTAGGTACTAGAGATGTAAGTAAAGCTTCAGCTTGCTCCAAGATACCCTTACATTTATGAACATTATACATGTCAAAAATTTAATTTATTATGTTTAATTAATTTAATGTTTAATTGTAATAATTAAATTTATTTTTTAAGTTGTCAAATAAAATGCAAATAAAAAAATATAAAAATGAGTTACTTATAAAATTTTACCTTTAAAGCAAAACTTGTAAAATTATAATGTGAAATAACAATCTTCATAATAGGAAAAATCCTAACACAATAACATTGGTCTTGAAAAAGAGCAATAACACAATGGAAATTAAATCCTCTTTTTGCAAGAATATGTGAGGAGCACTGACAAAATAAAGCAAAAAAAGATAATTGAAACGTAAAGAGACATAGATATTTTTAACATAAAAATCCCTCAATGTAATGGTAAAAATTAAGAGTCATCCAGACTAAAGAAAGACTTCACTATGATCAACACAAGGTATAAGAGAGTTTCCAAAAGAACACATCATATAGTGTTTACAACCAAGCAAAGCAAAATTGAACATAATTGTTTACAATTGAGAAATAAGAAGATGAAAAACCTCAAAACAGAGTTGTTACTATGAGACCCTCTTCTCCCTCTCTAGATTTCCTTTCGATTATTTAATCGTTGAATATGAAACTCCAAATTGTATGAACCTGCTATCCAAAAATCAATTCGATCCAACGATGAACGACTCTCTAGCTAGTTATAATTCAACAAACGTTGTTTGGTGGATATGTGACTTGTAACTTTCTCTCTTCCCTTCTCTCTGTATTTTGCTGTTGTTTTCCCAAATTGAGTCACTCTTTCTCTACCCTAATCTGACCCTTCACCACATGGTTAAGTAAGACATGATGGACTTACACAATTTGAGTTTATTCTCCACACAAGAAGAGAGCCCAAAACCCAACAAATCTCTCCCTCGATACTATGTGGAGATGTCCACCAAACCAGCAATCTCACAACAAACTTCGAACTTCCTTTTTGGTAATGTCTTCCTTGTACATTAACTCCACAAAATTTTTCAACAAGTACAATTTATCAGTCCCTAATTTAGAAGCATACAAGGACTTGAGCTTATCCCATAGGGTTCTCACATGTGTCACATTAGCAATAAAATTGTAGACATTATCATCAACAACTTACCTAATAAATCCACACATCCATTGATGTCCCAAATCTCATTCTTCATCAAATTTGGATTTTGGCTTATTAGAAGTAAAGATAAGAAGATGCAAATTCTTCACAAATAGTAAATCCTTTATTTTTCCCTTCCACAAGTGATAATTTTCTTCATTTAAAGAGATCATTTTCATATGTGCATGCTTTCATCATTCAAGCAAGCCAAACAACCCTTTAACCAAAGAGCTCTGATGTCACTCTAATAGGGAAAAATCCAACACAATAACAACTCTAAAAAATGAGCAATAATGCAACAAAAATTAAATCTCTCTTCTTGTAAGAATATTTTGCAAGGAGCCCCAATAAAATAGAGCAAAAAAATATAATTCAAACACCAAGGACACAAAGATTTTTAACATAAAAAACTTCTCAATGTAAGGGTAAAAAATCACGAGTTGTCCAGATCAAAGAAAAACTCCATTATGATCAACAAAGGGCATGAGAAAATCTTCAAAAGAATGCACCAAATAGTGCTTATAATCGGTCCAAATAAAAGTGAACACAATTTCTTACAATTGAGAAATAAGAAAATGAAAAATCTCAAAATAGAGTTTTTAATGCAAGATGTTTTTCTTCCACTATAAACTTCATTTTGACGGTCTAATTGTTGAATATGAAACGTCACATTGTATGAACCTACTATCCAAAAATCAATTTGGTCTAATGATGAACGACTTTTCAGTTACAATTTAACAAACATTACCAAATAGATATGTGACCTATAACTTTTTCTCTTCTTTTCTTTCTGTATTTTACTATTATTTTCTCAAATTGATTCATTCTCTCTTAACTCTAATCTGACCCTTCTTCACTTGATTAAATGAGACATGATGGACTTACACAATTTGAGTCTATTATCCACATGATAAGGGAGTCCAAAGTTTAACACTTCATGAGTTACTTAAGAGAGTTATCATTGAAAATATTGTTAAATTGTATAATAAGTTGTGAGAGAAGTTGAGAAGAGATATTTTTTATAAAAAAAAATAATCTTGTAGCCTAATATTCATTCATCATCATCATATATATTAAGTCCATTAGTTCTACACTCAACATTTACATGTTTATTGTTTTTGATCCAATAAACTTGAAGCAATGAGTTTTAACAGTTTTTACAGCAACTAGTAGTTTTCACCACTTTCAAAAGATATGCAACAATTGTCCTACCCCCAAATAAAAAAAATGGCTTAAGAGCAAACTTAAAGACACATGAATTGTGTTCTTTCTCTCCTTCCAAAATTGTTTTGTTATCTAAATGTTTCACTTCATATTCCTCATTGAGTTTTCTTGGTTTCGAAGGTAAGGAGCATCGAACTCAAGCCTATATCTTATTCGCGGAATTACAAATATTCAAACGCAGATGGGTAGGAATCAGATTCGTTGCCAACTAGTAATCCAAATCTACCACAGACAATTCATATTCAGTCTAATTTTTTTTTCTTTTAATTAAATATAATGCATTTTCATTCCTCCTTTATGACTAAACTAATTAATTGTTTTGTTAAAATAATGTTTTGCTAATAAAAATCAAATCTTGTAAACATACACTAGTTTTTAATTAACTTTGAGATACTATGTAATTCATGTTTATGAAAACAAATTGTAACTAAATAGTGTTGTTGTTATGCTGCGTCTCACTTTCCCCCAGCTACTTAATTTTCCCTCCTATATATAGAAACAAGAAATTAAGTCAACACTTAAAGATTTCTGGTCATATTGTCTTAACATTGGTACTTAAAACCACTCTATTATTTAGTTATATTTTGATTAAAAAATTGATAATTAAATAATATGATCCACAAAATTCTATCGTCATTCCCAACTTTCTTACTCATCACGTTCCCGTGTGAAGAGATTTATGCGTTCCTACGTGTGCATGATTAAAGTATTAAGCAAGTCGTCACTCTAACTGAGATAAGCTTATTATTCCATCCACTTTTGCCTCCTTATTGAGTCACTGCGTAACCTTTAAGAGAATCCAACAACAGCTAAAAGAAAAAGAGAATTTGACGTATTATTAAACAAAAATAAGTAAGGACAAAACTTGTAATTATTTTTATATGTTTTTGTTATTATTTTTCTATCAAAATTGAAGTTTATCTCATCGATAATTTATGAAACAAAATTTTGTCTTAGAAATCATCATATTAAAATCAAATTTTAATTCTAATAACAGAATAACACAAAACATTATCAAGTACAAAATAAAACATCAATATTTGAATGAAGGATAACTCGAAAAAACAACACTTAAGTTTGACATCTAAGTTTGATGACAAGTGTAAACACATGCTCAAATTAGGCTTTTTCTTTTGTCGTATAAATCCAACATCCTCCATCCAAATGAAAGGCATGGTGTAGGAATATACAAAAGGGGAATCATGACTAATTCCAACGCTAACCATTTGCACCTTGCATTTTTCTTTTCTATTCTAAATTAGTTGTCCCTTTTTCTTTAAGCTCAATAACTGGTCATCAATATGAGTTTTGCTACTATTACTAGATGTAGGCAAATCGATTCGATGCATATGGACCGTTAGCATATGTTCCTCCAGTCATGGACCATCACCTGAACACAAGCTGTTGTTTTCCTTTCACTCTCTTTTAGTTTTATTCCATCAATCTGTAGTAGCACCACTGGGGGAAAATACTGGTCATAACCAATTAAAGGTCACTTGAGTTAAGCATATGTGCCAATCTTTCACTATTTCTTGGTGTTGATGTAAAATTCATAAGATATACATATCATATATGCGTGTCCAACAAAATAAAGGTTTCTAGAATCAAAGGGAAGTTAAGAAAGGTATCGGAATTTTTTTTCATATTTTTATTTAGCATGAGGGACTAATCTTCAAAATTATTAACAGCTAACACAGAAAGAAATATATATCAACAAAATCATAGTAGAGCAGACAGATGCACCCTCTAGAAGACTTAAAATATCAATCTAAATTAGGGTATGTAATATCTATATATCACACCAATTTAATAAAAATTAACAAAAGCAAATCCAAAATACTTAAAATCTTTTTTTACCTTTTTTAATTTAGAAACCATTTATTATTCTCTAACTCTTATTATTAAATAAATATATTATTTTTTATTAATCAAGTTTATTAGTTAATTTTACCAACATTTTCAATTCAATTAATGTCTATTTAGATGCAAGTTATAAACTTTTTTGAGACATTCTCTGTTCCATTTTTCAGAAAAAAGAATATCTAAAAAATGCTCCTAAATTTATATATAAATACATTTTTAGTTAACTTATAAACTTTCAACTTTTGAATGGCTAATTTAGAACTTTATAAACTAATTTTATCATACACTATCCCTATGTTAACAAATATATACCATATTTAATGACCAATATCTTTAGACTGTTTTATTGAATAATTATTATAATAAAAAAAGTAACTCCTTAATCATGTCAGTTATTTATAATTTTATATCTTCTCCGGTATTATTTCGTTCCAAAGGGATCGAGGACATGTACAACAGTATCTGATCTTACTACTTTTTATAAGCAGCAAGAAGCTGTGGATCAGGATCACTCACTCAGATTACAACCGAAAGGAAAACGGAATAAAGGCTACGTATGCTTCACTTTGAGGTTGCCAAGAGAAGAGAACAGAAACCCAAAACCTTCACATTTTCTCACCGCTTTACTTCTTTCTCTTTGTGCTTTTCCTTAACCTTTACCTCTGTCAACTTAACATTCCCTCCCTTCTGCAATGGCCACCAAACACATAAAACTACCCCTTGAACACAACCAACAAGACCCAAACAAGTTCTATTACCACTTCATGTACAAAGCCACCCTTGTCCTCTTCTTCTTCTTCATAATTCCTCCGCTCTTCACTTCACAAGCTACCCAATTCA